CTGATAATGCCAGTGAGGGTGGGTCCCCAACAAGTGACGGACCTCCCGGACTCGGGGTATGGACAATCCCTGGTGCGGAAGGAGGTTGTCCTCATCTCCATTGTGGCAGACAGGGAGTTACAACTGCAGTGTGTCCACAGGTATATGAAGGCGTATCCCCATGCTAAGGTCCCCCTAATCATAAGGGGCATGACTGAGGAGATAGTTGTCGGGGGTGGCTGATACTTTAGCCTATCCCATTATTCTAGGCTGGGACTGGCATGGATTTAATGAACTCCTTCCAGAGGCCAGCCTTGAAGTCCCACCAGCCCAGGTCATCTTAGAGGGAAACCCCATCGATGAAGGCTGAGATGAAACCCAGGAAGAGGAGCCATCAGATGAGAGAGAGGATGACTTCCTGGAAGGGGACGGGTATGAGACACCAAGCAAGTCAGTTTCTCCCCAAGGAGGGGAAGCAGGGAAAACAGGACTTTCTCCAGGACCAACAGGAAGATGGGACCCTGAGGGTAGCAGATGAACAGGTCACACACATCAATGGTACCACAATCAAGCCGCAGAAAATTGCCCAGTGGCCCCATTTTGAGCTGGTGGCAGATAGCCTGTACCGGATGGCCTAAGACCCACAGATGCAAGTGGTCTGGTCCCAGCTACTCATCCCACACCACTACCGAAAAGCTCTTTTAAGACAGGCCCACTATATTCTGGTCACTGGCCCCCTGCGGCAAGAAAAAAACTCTAGCACGAGTTTTATCCTGGGTTTTCTTTTTGGACTGGTGTATACCAGGAGGTGAAGGACTATTTCTGCTCATGTCCAGAGTGCCAGCGAGCCACAGCTTTGTGCATTCCAAGAGCTCCGCTGGTTTCTTTACCCACTGTCTGCACCCCGTTTGAACGAATGGCCCTTGACCTGGTGGGACCACTCCCAAAGAGCAAGACGGCCTCTTTTTCAATAACTGAATATTTCTGATCCCAAGGAAAAAGCTTCTTGCTGATATAAAGAATGGGGTATTCTTCCCCATCTATCTCCTAGTGCGGGAGCCAGGTCTAACCCTGGGGCAGCCAGTATTGGCTCTCCAGCTGCTGCCTGAGTGGGCGGAGGAGAATGGGATTGAACCCACCATCCTATGTTCCCCAGGCAAATCCCCAGGTCCTGGGAGCCATGGGGATCCAGGACAGTCCTTGGCCTCTGTAGTTAATTGATCGCCTCAAGGGGTAGTAGCAGTGTTGACTGGAGAAGCTCTCCCACCAACATGGCGTTGTTTACACCAGGGTTTAGGTTGGTACTACATTGCTAAAGGGCAGTGGGGCCAATAGCCTTGCAGGGACCCTGGGCAAGGTGGAAGGAGGCCCGGCTCCATGCTCCTGGGTGGAAGAGGCAGAGCTGGGAGCAGCCAGCCCTCAGTGCTGCCCAGAGCACACCATGCTATGTCCCCTCCAGGCAGCCCTCACAGCCAAGTGGAGCACACTGCATCAGTGCTCCAGCAGCCATGTAAGGGCCTGGGACTCTGGCCACTGATGCTGCTGCAAATCACTGAGCCCTGGGGCAATTGCACCCTTTGCTTTCTCACAGGTGTAGATTTTTCACAATCCCAAGTGATGTTTTAACCCTGTGTAAGTCTGTAGTATAGACCTGGCCTGAAGAATAATTACTAACTTAAATGTAGCACTGTCAGGCTCCAAAGAGAGTTCTGGCTATAGAGATTGGGGTGTGCATGGGGCATGAGCGCTATTCAATTACATATTTATTATTGTTATTGTTTAATGTTTGTTTGAGGTCCTATTTTGCCAGCCACAGTATAAGTATATAACCAAGAGATGGTGCCAAAAGGTCTTACAATTCAAGTGCATGATGAAATACAATAGGGCGATGTGGGAGGGGTGCGGGTGGCAAATGGAACACAAGGTAAAGTAGGGAAGTAGGGAAGAGATCACGTGAAGACGATGCATGGTTGCCAAAATGAACATTTTGATTGAGAGGGTAGTAATTCAGAGTCTAATGCAGAGGAAGATGCATGTTTCTGTCAAGTGGAAGGTATCTAGTAGGAAGGATCTTCAAAACAAAAATTTTCTGACATATAAAGTACATTATATCTAAGTTTGAATACTTCCAAAATAGTACAATGCATAGAGAAGGAATGCAATGCACACAGTAGATCTATCTTTGAGCTCTTAACTAGAACTAGAAAAACAATTTTGGGAACGAGGCTGTGATTTTCCACAGCTGTAACAAAATGTGCAGGACTGTGAAAATACAATACATTTCCATGCTGTGGCTATTCCAAAGAGACTTTCAAATGACTTGTCAAGTGCAAAAATGTAGGTGTAAAATGAACTTCAGTGGTGAACTGAGAGGATCTCTTGCACTTTGACACATTAGAAATTGCACTTTTCCTGATATGTGTGAAATCTATTTATAAATGAGCAGGACTTTTTTGGGGGGGAAGGTAGGGGAGAACAGCTTAAAACAGACAAGAGTGATCACCCCATTGACTCACTTGGTTACTTTATTTGTAAACTGTTTAGAAAATATCCACAGTACAAGGAAAGTCACAGCTCAACAGAAGCAGCAGATAACTGAACCAAACTAGGAGCATAGTCACTCAGTCCATTCTCATTGGGTGCATCTATACTGCAGCATTTTTCTGGAAAAACAGCCTTTTTTTCTGGAAGAACATCACTGGCATGCACACTGTCATTGAGTTCTTTCAACAGAAAGTTGAAAGAACAGAGGGGGTTTTCCGACAGTGGTAAACATCATTCTACGAGGAAGAAGCCTTTTTCCAAAAAGGCTTTTTTGGAAAAAAGTGTATGGACGCAGAAAAGGGAGTTTTTTTTTTAAAGAAGAGGCCACCAGGAAATAACACAGGTGCCCTGGTGGCCACTCTGTCTAGATTAATCACAACTTAAATGTGAGATAGAGTTCAATCAATGTGGACCCCCTCTTTCGAAAAAGCAGATCACTTCTTCATTGCATTTTTGCTGTGTGGATGCTCTCTTTTGAAGTAGCAAAAGTGGGGAGGAGTCCCATGGCTCCTTATAGACTAACCGTGCATCTGACTAAATGGATCTTTGCCCACAAAAGCTTATGCTCCAACACTTCGGTTAGTCTATAAGGGTATGTCTACACTACCCTCCTAATTCGAAATAGGAGGGTAATGTAGTCATACCGCAATTGCAAATGAAGCCCGGGATTTGAATTTCCCGGGCTTCATTTGCATAAAGCCGGCCGACGCCATTTTTAAATGCCGGCAGTTCGAACCCCGTGCCGCGCGGCTACACGCGGCACGGAGTAGCTAGTTCGGATTAGGCTTCTAAATCCGAACTAGCTGTACTCCTCGT